AATTATCATCTTCACTTTTTTTTTTTTTGGGGCTTAGGGGTCAAGGTGATTTGTACAAGCTGAGCATGGTATAGCCTATATTTTGAGACAGGTGCCAAACTTTATCTTCCAGTGGATCTTCATCATTACTTAGAACTAACTCTTCAGGTGACACCAAGAGACTGAGTTAATATTTCAACACAATTAAGTTACCTATTGTCTAGGGGTGAATTTTTAGGTGACATTAGTTCCGTAGATTGGAAGACAAGAAACCTGTGTTGTTTAATAATAGTTGAGTTTGGATTCTAAACTTGACAAGAGCAGTGTTTTCCAGTTTTCTACTCTGGAGGTAAACATTTTGCCTCAGAGAGGGTGAGGCATTCCATGAGGAACCATCAAAGTCTGTGTATATTCTTAAAGCAGAAAGCACTGACAATCCCATTAGTCAATTATGAAAGCAGCGGGCAAAAATTCATCATTTTTATAAATTCAGCTCAGAAACTAGGAATCGTCCAGTGTTAGGCAGGACTGTTTACTACCCTCTGGTAATAGGAAAACTGGCCAGCAAAGGATAAACGGAATTGTTTATGGTTTCCAGGGCCAAATCCATCTTGCACATCTTAACTTGAATATTACAGGGAAGCTATTCTTTGTCTCATGTCTATACACCAAGAGATGTCCACAAGGTGGTTGAGTATGCCCGTTTCCGTGGAATTCGTATTATACCAGAATTTGATACCCCTGGACATACACAGTCTTGGGGAAAAGGTAAGGACTTTGTTTCACAGGTTGAAAAGGGAGTACTTGAGATCCTTTGTCTCTTAATAGTTTGGTAGTGTTGTTCTTAAGTGTGGTTTGTGCAATGATAGGAAAAGTGCTACAGATTTTGTGTCCCTTCTAAGTCACTGTCTAGGTACCACCTAGTGTATCAAAGTTGGGAAAGTAGAAAACTTGATTATAAGTAGAACATGATAACTTAGTTTCATTTTACTGATGGGCATGTTTTGGGAGAGCACAGAATATAGTCATGTTTCTGCTGGAGGGAATAGCATGAGGAAAGGCATTCAAAGATAGTATGTAGTGGGAACAGAGTGGAAAAATTTAAGGAGATGCTACAGGAGGTCACTAAGAATGTGGGCTCTGGTGCCAGCCTGCCTGCATTCAGATCCTGCTTTTGTCATTTGGGCAAGCCTTGGGAAAGTTAACATGTCACCTCCAGTTTCCCCATCTACAAAATTCAGCTAACATTTCCAAGCATCAAATAAATAATAGAAAGTACATAGCATGGGGCCCAGCATCAGTACATAGTAGTATCATGGTCGACATGGAAAACAATGGGAACTGAATCTGGGAAGGGTATCATCAAGGCTCTTGATGACTAGTGGGCTTTGTAAGGACACCCCAGAAACCAGTGTAAATTTCTGAGTAGAGAAGTAACATGATTGGGGTCACTTTTGGGGAAAACCTTTGTGAAAGGAACTGACTGTAAGGAGAAAGACCCTGGAGATCGCACACTGGAAGGGTCAACCTGGACTTGAATAATAATGAGCAGAACCAGAAATGTTCTGGAAACACATCATAGAACTTGGTAATCAACTCCAGGAAGAGAGGCCTCAGAGTTTAGGAAGGCCAACAAGCAGACCTGGCAGAATCCAGAGAAGGAGATTTGGGTTTTTTGTTAGATCATATTGAAAGGCAGCAAGGGTCTCTATTTTTATTGAGCAGGGAATCTGAACTATGTATTGAAGCTCAAAGAAAAAGTTTGAGTCCCTGACGGATATTTGAAGTGGGTAAGACCTCAAAGTCTGTGTAAAGCAGAAAACGAGGAATGGAGGAAGCAGCTCTTGTCTTCCTGGGGAGAAACTGCCAAATGAATCTTGTGAATGTGGTTGACTTTTCTATATAAAATTTCTGTGGCTTCACCAACATAAAGTCCAGATGGTCAGGTTTATCATGGTTTGTTATGATGATGGTATCAGAGGGATTCATCCTCAATAGAAACATGCTTTGAATCCTGGTCTTTTCCCAGATGAGGGATATGATCTGAGTAGACACAGTTCTGAAGTCTCCAGGCCCCAGCAGATACACACACACAGATGCTGCAGTGTGTGTTATATCCTGCGCTACACTGGGTGGGTTAGTGTGTCAAATGAATTTTTGACTACTGATGTGTTCAATTCATGGAGTTTATTGGGATTCAATACTATTGTAAGGGGAGTAACATCTATAGCATAATTGTGCAAATTCAAGTCTTTGTGATTAATATACTTAAAAAATAAATCTTTGTATTTTCTTCTAGGTCAGAAAGACCTTCTAACTCCATGTTACATCGAAAAAAAGGAAACTGAAAGAGTTGGACCTATAAACCCAACTCTAAATACAACTTATACATTCTTTAACACATTTTTCAATGAAATCAGCAGTGTGTTTCCAGATGAGTTCATTCATTTGGGAGGAGATGAAGTAGATTTCCAGTGTTGGTATGTTAAATCTGAACCTTTATTTATGTTTTCAGGTTTTGTTCATAAGGTGTAGACATAAAGAATCCACACGGACAAAGGAAAGATTGGGGGTAACATTTCTTCTTATAAGGGTTCCAGCAACTCCTGAGAAAGTCAGTTATTATATTCTGAGAGGTGCAACAAGCGAAAAAGCTTAGGAAGAAGAATCAAGGGGCAGAAGCTGGATGGCCGCTCATGCCTATAACTAAGTTCAAGGACAAGCCTGGTCTATAAAGTGACTCAAGAACTACCCAGATGCTGCAACTCGTTCCATTTGTCAAGTCCTAGAGCATGGGTACTTCCTATGCTGTGTGTCCAGTAGCCAGAGATGCACAAGCCTGCTTGCTGCATTAGAGTTAAAGGCAGTTAAGTCCTCAGCTGCATCAGCTCCATGTCCAGTGTTTCACAGGACAGTACAGTCACGTTTCTCAAAAGTCTCAGTGTGCTGCTCTGCTGGGAATCAGCACATTGTTTATGATAGAAGAACCAGAGCCTTCATGTACCATGTGGAGGAGAGAGAGGGAGAGAGAGAGAGACACAGAGACACAGAGACACAGATAGAGAGAGAATGCTTTGCAGATTCAACAACCATTCTTAGCTTGTCAGCCATAGAAAAAAGGCTGCATGCTGTGGTTTTCCAAGTTCTGCTCTGCTCTATCCATTTGGGAGGCTCAGAGTTCATCTGTTCCTTCCTATTTAGCTTTTTGTGTGATGTTTTCTTTCTTATTTACCCTTTGAAGTGTTTGTTATTGCCTAACTAAGTATGTGTGCCAGCTAATAACTGAACATTACTGACACGACATATCAAGCTAGGTGTCAGTTTCCTTTCTTCCAACCTGTGGATTAAGGCCATTGGAAACATCAGATATTTACATTACAGTTCCTAACAGCAGCAATATTACAGTTCTGAAGTGGCAACAATAATAATTTTATGGTTGGAGGTCACAACACGAGGAACAGTATTAAAGTGGCATTACAAAGATTGCGAACCACTGTTCTGTAGAAATGTGTCACAAGCATGGGGAACAAAGCTCAGGTTCGAAGTTGTCTGCCCTGAGGCAACTCCTGAGGGATCTCCATTCATGTGTGGCTGACTCTCACAATTCACAGTGAAATACTTCAGTTCAATTAGAAGGGCAGATGCATCCAGGAAGATTTCGGTCAGGGGGGCAGTACCTAAGTGGTTCAGTAGAGGCTATGGACGTGATTGGAGGACTTTGGGATTACATTGTTTAAAGAGGTGATCTATAAGATAAGGGGAAGCTTACATATGAGGAAGACAAAAATATGGATCAACATTTAAAAATTAAGTCAAGTTTTCTATAAGAGGGTAAGAAATGTTTTTATCCTGAGTATGGCACTAATCTTAATAATCTTGCCTGTGGTATTTTAAGGTAGCATACTTTCTGTGTAGTTTCTTTGGAGGCAGTCTCTAGTCAGCAAGACATATCTCAGGTTGTCTTAAGGCCAAAGAATTCTTTCCATTTCCCAAGTCCCTTAACCTTGGCCTGTCTCTCTACCTTGCCTCCTACCCAACTTTAGCTGGTTCTGTATAGCTATGTTATCGTGAGGTACAGTACTTGTCAACGTTGCAAGCTGTTCCTGATATAAAACATGCATGTTGAAGACTGTTAACTTTGTGATCCTAAATAACTGTCAATGTTTCCAATTTTAGTATTTTGGATATTATTACATCCTTGAAGAAAGGCTCCATTGTTTGGCAAGAGCTTTTTGATGATAATGTAGAGGTAAGAACTGTGAAAACTCCACTCAGGGCAGGAGTGATGGCTCAGTGGGTGAGACTGCTTGCTGTACCATCTGAGCACCTATCTAAAAACTGGATGTTCATCAGCAGTTAGGTTGGATGGAGGAAGGGCTGCAGGGCTCCATTTCGTCAATGCTGAACTCTCTCCTACAGATAGATTCAAGGAGAGGAGGCATTGCTTCAGTATATACATATATATATGTATATATTGGTGACCCTACCAGGTCCAAGAGATCACAGCAGTCCAGTGGTCTCACAAACCAAGTCACTAGTTGGGGGAAGGGATGGAAGATTCAAGGGAGAGACTAATCAGTATGCATTATATACATATATGAAATTGTCAAGAACAAACTTAAAAAACAAAAAAATATCTGGCTGAGCGGTGATGGTGTACACCTTTAATCTCAGCACTTACTTGTGAGGAAGAGCTAGGCTGCTGATCTGTGAGTTGGAGGCCAGCCTGGTCTACAAAGTAAGTTCCAGGACAGTCAAGACTGTTAAACAGAGAAACCCTGTCTCAAAGAACAACAAAACCAAGCATGGCCTAGTGTGCACCAGTAACCCAAACACTGCAGGACTGGGACAAGAAGGTTGCTGGGACCTGCTGGCTCCAGCATAGCTCCAGGTTCAGAGAGACTTTCTTGAGGGTATAGTGATTAGAGCATGATGGCAAGCCTACCCATACATGTGTGTGCACAATTATAGTAGGCAGACATTTGACTCCATTAGTAATATGGACAACTCACTTTTTTATTCTCATTTCTTCCCCCAACTCCTGCTGTCTCACAAGTTGAAGTATTTTGAATTAAGTTCTTTTATGTTTTTAGGAGCAAACAGACAACAAATGACCTTTTTCTTTTTTCTTTTTTAAAGATTTTATTTATTATGTCTACAACATTCTGCTCCATGTATATCTGCACACCAGAAGAGGGCAACGGATCTCATAGGGATGATTGTGAGCCACCAAGTGGATGCTGGGAATTGCACTCAGGACCTCTGTAAGAACAGTCCATGCTCTTAACTTCTGAGCCAACTCTCCAGCCTGAGCTTTTTCAAAACATAGTGTTAAAGTGGTTTGAAAATAGGTAAAATTAATATACACTTTTAAGAAATATTTGTTCTGACACAATTACTTATTATTTATTTGTAGTGGATCTCACAAGTGCAGCTACCACTGTTACCTCTCTGGGGAGCTGGTGATAGTCTCATGGTTCCAGGTTAAGTAGAATATTAGTGTGTCAGGAATAGGATCAAGGAGTACATCTTACCCTGAGTTCTTTACCTCTCTGAGGTGTTAGCTTAGATAAAGTTAAATATCCAGTTTTAAGGGTTGAAGAAAATTTGAGTAGCAATGAAAACATGGTGAGTGAATAGCATATGACACTGACTGTTAGGAAAAAGAAAATAGGATATAAGATTTTTCTCTAAGATCTTAGAAATTATACCAAGGCCTTAAAGATTGTTTTTGCTAGACCTAATACTGTGATTGCCCTCTGCACCTTTAGCTTCGGCCGGACACAGTGGTTGAAGTGTGGAAAAATGAAAATTATTTGGCGAACCTAAAAGAAGTCACATCATCTGGCTTCAAAGCAATCCTTTCTGCTCCTTGGTACTTAGACATCATTAGCTACGGGCAAGACTGGGAAACATACTACACAGTACAGCCTCTTAAATTTGACGGTAAGTAAAGCAACCATCATTACTGCTACTTTCTTCCATATCTTGAATTCTCTCCTCTCAAATCTAACTTGGATATCTTTTATCCCTTTTATGTCTGGTCTTTGATTTTATTAAAGATAAAGATTTGGTATCATTTTAACTTCGGAAAGGAACAGTTTGCTCTCTAAATGAAATAATACTAAGTAGATCCCACTTAGATTGGCTTCCATTTTCATGGAGTGCTTTCTATATCTGAGAGATGTTTGGCTGTGTTAACTCTGGAAGGCATCTAAGTAAGGGTAAGGTAACCATTTCTTCTGTGGATTTCAGGCTGTGTAGTTCTGGGTTTTCGACCACTTTATTAGCAGTTCTAATTTATACGGTTTTTGTCTATCAGTCTTTAGCTTAAAAAATGATGTTATGATTAAAAATCTCAAAAATATTGATCCACTGAAAACTATGAATTTCCCTACAAAGCATTTTTTGGATTAACATAATTATGAAAAATAGTTCTTAGACTCCGGACAGTGGTGGGGTATGCTTTTAATCCCAGCAATTGGGAGGCAGAGGCAAGCAGATCTCTGTGAGTTCAAGGCCAGTCTGGTCTACTGAACCAGTTCCAGGGCAGCCTCCAAAGCTACAGAGAAACCCTGTCTCAAAAAAATATCTCTTAGATACAGTTTTTTGTTCTGTTATTAAATACAAAGGAATATAATCCAAGATGGGTACAGTGGTCATAGTCCTTTAAAATGAACCCAAATATCCCAACTTGTATTTCTTGGCACACCACTAATAACAGCAAGTGGGAGGAAGTGTCCAAAGGAGTTTGTGCAGGACTCTATGAAAACTATCTCCTCCTGAGTCAGCCCAGGCTTCCATGTCTGTTGAATAGTGATGGGGAGTTCCTTCTGTGTATGTTCATCTTATTGATTGTTGAATAAAGTACTGTTTGGCCAATGAGAGAGCAAGTTAGGTGTCAAGGACGATTCTGGAAAATGTAGTAAAAAGAAGTCTTTTGATATAGGCAGGAAGTGACATAGCAGGCAGACTGATATATAAGCAGGGACAAACAGGAAGTGGTCCTTTTCTCTCTCTTCCTCTTGCTGTCTACTCTGAAGTCACCATGTGTGCTAGGGAAGACAGGAAGCTTGTTGCTGGCATCCAATAAGATAAGTCTTATAAAATATGTGGATGTATGATAATTAAGACTGAGCTAACAGATGGAAATCTAGTCTTTGGCCAAGCAGCATTTGTACCTAATATAAGTCTCTGTATGTAACTTGGGACTTTAATGTGTGGGCGGGCAGAACTCCGGTGGCCTGGTGGAATGCGCCCACATGGCTGCAGGGCTGGGGTGGCTTTGGAGTAAAGACTTATTGTTACAGATAGCACTGAGCCAGGGTGGGAGTAAAGTTTCTGCTGCCTACAGGGTGTAGGGTGTGGGAAGGTAACATTGGACGACTACAGAAAGAAAGCCAGTGTTGTACAGCTTGACTGGCTTTCCCTTCAACTACTTTAATGCAGGTTCTAGGAAGCAGAAACAACTTGTCATTGGTGGAGAAGCTTGCCTCTGGGGAGAATACGTGGATGCAACTAACCTTATTCCAAGATTATGGTAAGGAAGTAAAGGGTACCAACTGCCTTAAAAGATGCCTTAGATCTTATTCTCCATGTAAGTAGGAAAGTACTTAAGAATTTCCTTAAATAGACGACTTAATTGAAGGAGAAATCTAAATTGCCTTGGCAGACACATATTTTAAATTTCAGGCCTCGGGCAAGCGCTGTTGGTGAGAGACTCTGGAGTCCTGAAACTGTCATTGACGTAGATGATGCCTACAGCAGACTGGTGAGACACCGCTGCAGAATGGTCAGGTGAGAGGCACTCCCTTCCAGTCTAGGATCTCTTATTAAAGTCCAGCACTCAGTGTAACTAGTGTCTTCAGCTTTTTGCTTTGCAATAAATAAAAATGTCACCTAAGAAGTAGTGATTTACCAAATAGAAGTTGGACATTCCTTGTTGCAGGGGAGAAAGTAACACCAGTAAGATATATTTTAGTATAACTGCCATCTTAAAGGGGTTAAGTGCTTAAATTAGAATCAGTAAGTCACCGAAGGGGTGGGGATGGGATGATTTGCTAAAGTGATGTGAGATGGGAGAGCCACCAACCTAAAACATCTTTTTTGTTATCTGTCAACAGCCGTGGAATAGCTGCACAACCTCTTTATACTGGACATTGTGGCCATTAGCATAAAGTGAAAAAAGTGAACAGAAAAGGCTACAGCAGTTTGAACTATAATCATGTTGATTTTGAAATCATGTAAAACTATTTGTTAGGTTTTTTTTTAATAAACTATCTTTTTATTGATTGACTACCTGTTGTATCACATGCTCACTACTGGCATCTATTATGTGAGCATCTTGAAAAATAAAAGGAAAAGCTTTGTGATACCACTCAAATATTCCAAAGGTCTGCATGAATGCCTTCATTGTTTTGATGGCTTAACTGAGAAATATTGAGCTAGATAGAAGGCTCAGCATTTAAGAGCACTTGCTACTCTTACAGAGGCCTGAGTTCAGTTCCTGGATCTACATGGTGGTTCATAACTATCCAAACTCCAGTTCCAAGGGATGAAAACATTCACTTCTTACCTCCAGTGGCACCAGGCACATACATGGTACACAGACATGTATGTAGGTAAAACACTCAAAGGGAAAAATGTAAAAAGGCAATTTTAAATGAGCAATTATGTTCTGCACAGACCCGAGCCTTTGGACAAGTGCTTCCAGTGGGTGGTGCTATTTGGGGAGGTCTAGGAAGAACAGCCTTGCTTGAGTTCATCACTAGGGGGACTTGGAGAACTCACTGGCTGGCCCCACTTTCTAGTTCTCACTCTCTGCTTTGTGCTTGAGATTAAAGATGGGCTTTCTCAGCTTCCTGCTGCCTTCCTATCCCTGCAATTGTGGACCCTCCTTCAGGACCTTAAGCCAAAACAAACTCTTTTATAAGCTTCTTGGTCAGGTTATTTTATCAAAGTAACAGAAGTCAGGGATCCAACCAGGGCACACAGTAGAGGGGCATTTAGAGAACAGTACATTCCACACAGAATGAGAATGGCAGCTCCAATGTATTATCTACATCTTTTGTCAAGATTGGGAGAGACAAAGGCAGTCTAGCTCTCTGACATGAAGGGATGGAGCCTGGGAAGCTCACATGAATATTGCATAGGTACTGATCCATTCAGAGGCTGGATTACCTGATGGGGGCTGAGGACAGTTCTCTAGGAAGCTCCTAAGGGAAACCATAGACACACATCTCTTTTCCAAGGCCAGGTTTTTGTTTCTTTGCCCAGCACTCTGTCTTTTGAGTCGGTTCTGTTCCCCTCTTCTTAGTCTTCACTGTTTTCTTGTAGCTCCTTACTCATACTCTTCAAAATGGGGGTCCTTTGGGGTTCAGGCTGCAGAGGCAAAACCTGCCTGTTGTGTGTGTTGGGGAGGAGGTATAGTGTGGGCTGTCAGTTTGTCTCTCTATGTGTCTATGTGTTTGTGTGTATGTATGTGTCTATGTGTATATATAAATATATATGTATGTGTGTGTGTCTGAATCTGCATGTCTGTATGTCTGTCTCTGTGTGTCTGTGTGTGTGTGTGTGTGTGTGTGTGTGTGTGTCTCTGTGTGTGTGTGTGTGTGTGTGTGTGTGTGTGTATGTATGTATGTATCTGGCTGGCTGTGTGTGTGTATATGTATGTGTCTGTTTCTGCATGTCTGTCTGCTATTGGGTGTCTATTCTGTGTGTGTGTGTGTGTTTTCTATTGTGTGTCTATCTGTGTGTGTGTGTGTGTGTGTGTGTGTGTGTGTGTGTGTGTGTGTGTGTGTATTAGCATACAGGTGCATGTGAAAGCTGAAGATGAATCTCAGACATTGTTCCTCTGTAGCCATCCGCCTTGATTTTTGAATCAGGGTCTCTAGTTTACTGGAGCTCAAGAAGCAGGCCCTGCTGACTGACTTCCCAGTGATCCCCAGGAATCTCCGTCTGTTTCTTCCCAGCACTGAATTTATAGGAGTTTGCTACCACACTGCCTTTTTAGTGGCACAGATGCTCACTCTAATAACACAAGGTTTTTACCAACCCAGTTATCGCTTCAGCCAGGAGCTGCCTGTTTGTTTGCCAAGGACACACTTGGAGGGGCAGCCTGGCTGCATGGGAAGTAGATGGCCCAGGGTAGTCAAATCCTGACTCCCATGCTGTCTGACAACACCTCTGTGAGCCTCTGTTTCCTCAACTGTCAAATAAGACTGGCCTTACCTACCTTACAGACTGTCCGGGGATGCGAGATGCTCATGTTAATAATAATACTTTGCAGGGCTATTAAACCTCTGTCTTCTCATAGCCCTGGGGCCCCCTCCTGTGGGGAAACACCATGCCCTCATTGACCATATTCAACCCTTTTATTTGGTTTTAACATGCAGAAGCTGAACCGATTTTTTTTAAAACTA